AGGGCCTGTGCTCCAGGGCTGTGGGCCTCATACGGGCACCTGGGACCCTGAGCTGCCCACTGCTCTGTGCTGCCAAGCACATGGCTTACCCCCACGTCTGTTCCCAAGCACAGCATTTTCAGTTCAGTTCCTGAGACTGACGGGGCATGAGGTCCCGAGGTCAGTGTCCACTGCCACTGCTGCTGCCGCCTGCCACCAGCAGTCCTCAGCRGGGCCCCGGGAGGCCTGTGTTGACGGACAGCTCTTCTCATCAGCATTCTCTCGACCCAACTCCAAGCAAGAGGGCGGTCCCCTCCTCACTTCCTTGGGAAGTGAGGGTCATTGCCCCCATCCTGGGCACCAGGCTCACTGGGGAGGAATGGCCGCCAGGCTCCATGGGGGAGCAGGACAGGGTTGCATCCCTGGGGAAGAAGGAGCGGGCAGCAGAGCCCCAGTGGGCCCAGGGTCTGCGTTCATGAGACTCTTGCTTGTGCCTGAGCTGCCATCTTCTCGCCCCTCAGGAGATGCTGCCGTGCGGAGGACAGCCACCTCCCTGAGTGCCCCGCTCAAGCRCAAGGAGGACTTCTCCTTGTTCAAGGTGTCTGACGAGGAATACAAAGTGAAAATCTCGCCTCAGCTGCTCCTGGCCACCCAGCGCTTCCTTTCCCGAGGTGAGAGAGCAGAGGTCCATGTCCCTGTTCCACTCACTGTCCATGGGTCAGGAGACCTCCCACGGTGGACACCAGCTGCTTCCTGATCCTAGTGAACAGGAGAGTCACGCGGAACAACATCTGTGCTTTCTCTGCAGCTCTGTCAGCCTCTTARGTGACCCCAGGGCTGACCCAAGTGACCAAGAGCAGAACTGGGCTTTGCCCCTGGCCGGGGTGGCCAGGGAACCTCAGCTGGGCCCACATGTGCCCTGCCCTGCTCTCTGTGGAAGGTGGCAGCTCAGGCGCAGGGGAGCCTGGGGTGCGGGCACAGGGAGAGCCCGGGGTGCGGGCGCAGGAGCCAGGTGCGCGCAGGCCGCTCAGCCCCGTAGGCACTCTTCCTTTTCCGGTTTTGGGGCAGAGGTGGACGTGTTCAGCCCGCTGCGCGTCTCTGAGAAGGTCCTCCTGCACCTGCTGAGGCAYCCGAGCGTCAACCAGGAGGTGAAGTTTGATGAGAGCGACCGCCTGGCTGCCCACCACTACCTGTACCAGCGCAGCCGGCCGGTGGACTACTTCATCCTCATCCTGCAGGTGACTGGAGCCGGCCGCAGGGGAGGACGGCCACAGGCCTGCCACCCAGGTCGCTGGGATTTCACCTGGTGCTCCTCCTGGGGACGCTAACCCGTGCCCGTGTCTGTCTGCCTGCCCTCCCTCCTCCCAGGGCAGGGTTGAGGTGGAGATCGGGAAGGAGGGCCTGAAGTTTGAGAACGGGGCCTTCACCTACTATGGAGTGTCTGCCCTGACCACGCCGTCCTCGGGTGAGCCGCAGCCCCTACCTCTGAGGGCTGGGTCCTGGCTTGCAGAACGGCCCCGGTCCCCGCAGGGCGTCTCTTGGCTCTGGAGCGAGGACAGGCTTCCTTCTTGCTCACCTGGTGCACCCCATCCCTGCAGAACCTCCCCCAAGTCCCCACCCTGTCCCCTCTCGGGGCGACTGGGGCAGGCCGCAGAGCCAGCAGTTGCCCAGCGGTGCCCTCACCGCCTGTTCCTCCTGACAGCTCACCAGTCCCCGGTGCCCTCRCACCAGGCCACCCGCCACGACCTGCAGCCCGAGCCAGCTGAGGGCACCCGCGCCTCCACCTACTGTCCCGACTACACCGTGAGGGCCCTCTCTGACCTTCAGCTCATCAAGGTGACCGCCTGGGCTGCGTGTGGTGTTGGCACTAACTGGCTTTGTGACCCCAAGGGGCTAGGCCAGCTGGTCACCAGTGTGTGTGGAGGAGAGAGAGGTCTGAGCGGCCCTGAGGCCCAAGACCAGGCCCTGTGCTGCCCAAATGTGGGGCCTTGATTCCCTGGACACCTCACCACCCTGGCCTGGCTGTCCTGAGGCCTTGACTCCCTGGACACCCGGACCACGTGGCTTAGYGGTCTCAGGCCTGGTCTCTGGCCCCTCTGCCCGCTTGCCCTCTGCCCTTCCCTGTTCCTCTCCCTGCCTCCTYGCCCTGCCATCCAGTTCCGCCAGAGGTGCGAGCCCACACCACGCYGTGTCCCCCGCTGGGTGACACCCCTGTCCTCCAGGTCACGCGGCTGCAGTACCTCAATGCACTCTTGGCCACCCGAGCCCAGAGCCTGCCACCGTCCCCCGAAAACTCTGACCTCCAGGTCGTCCCAGGCAGTCAGACCAGGCTCCTCAGTAACAAGACCACGGCAGCCGCGGGTAAGCCTCGCGGCAGGTCCGGCCGCTTCCCTCAGACCTGCTGGCTGCGCCCCACCTGCCCTGGCCTCCTGGCTCTGCTCTCTCCCTGTCCTTGTCCCTTCTTGCTGTTTTGAGTGACTTGGGTGACAGCTGTAGCTCGGCTGGCGCTGGGTCTTTGAGGGCCTCTCAGAATGGTCAGCTTTATAGAGAGGAGCTGGCGGCCAGGTCCGTCCAGTCCAGAAACTTCTGGCCACTTAGACTTGGGGTGCCGCGGGCCTGGCTGGGAAGGGGTGTGGCAGAGGAGTGGGGTGGCGGGCAGTGAGAGCCTCCTTGGGGCTCCATGTCGAGCAGGAGCAGCTGGGGAACAGAGGTGGCCCTGTGAAGCGGCAGTGGAGAGGGCGGGGGCATGGGGCCCTGAGGCCCGTGGAGTCCTGGGGTGGAGTCCTGGCTGGGCTTCAGAGGCTGCAGAGGGGTGGGGTGCAGGTCCCACTTCCTCGCCCACCTGCCCTGGGGAGCCAGCTCTTGCTGAGACTCACCCTGGGCCTGTGGGGTCCTGAGAGCCACTCTGCCCGTCTTACAGAAGCAAAGTGGGGCCAAGGACCCTGGCCTGCGGGGCCTCAGGGGACCGCCGCTCTGGTCCTGAGACCTGTGCTCCAGAGTGCAGAGATGTTTTTACAAAAGGTGTTTCTGAATCGCGAGGTGGCGTGTGTGTGTAATGGGGACCACGGTGGTGGCCCAGCCTTTGTGGGCTCCAGGTCCGGGCGCTGGTGAGCCCAGGCTTTGGACTGAAGCAGGAGTGCCACTTGGCCACCCTCCCCGCTGGGCTCTGTGYCCCTTCACGTGGGGTGCCGGGTCCAGCTTCCCGCTCAAACCCAAGACTGATCTTTAACAAGCGAGCCATTTGTCTTGGGTTTCCCGCCAGCCCTCTCTGGTTCCACCTGCAGCCCGGGCGGGGTGCAGACCTCGTGTGCCACTGCCTTCAGAGCCCCTGCGCAGACGCAGCTTGTTTGGCTTTTTAAAGGCGCTGGGGGTGGAACCCAGGGCCCTGCACATGCTCAGCAAGCATCGCCCACTGAGCTTCACCCTATCCTCAAGAGGCTTGGTGAAAACCCTTCCAGCTGAGCACTGAGCCATCCCATGAGAGAGTCCTGGMGGTGGCTTTGGGTCATCCCCTCCCTGTGACAGATCACCCCGTGCTCTGTGACACGGTGTTGGTGGCTCTCACTTGCGTGYAGCCTGAATTGCCTCCCTGAGACTTGCTTGCTGTCTCTGCTCCTTGCCTGAACTCTCGGGGTTTCCCTGGGGCGTCCTGTTACCGTGGCCTTCACTTCCTAAAGAGCGCAGGGTGGTCTCGGTGGGGTGCTGCTGATTAAGTAGTGCAGGGTGAACTGTGCCCTGGAGCCTGGCACTAGATCCCTGCCAGAGATGGCCTTTATTGAAATGTTTGGAAAATGGTCGTTGCAGATTGCCTCCCGCAGGGGTCAGCAGACCACGGTGCAGGGACCAGGTCGGGCCAGCTGCCCGGGTGTAGACCCCATTTGTTTGTGGCTTGTATGTGGCTGCTTCTGAAAGATGACAGTGAAACTGAGTAGCTGTGACAGAGCCCAAATGGCCTGCAGAACTAGGAGATTGGCGCTTCACTGCTCTGCACGTGGCTCACAGGACTGCCCCCCCCCCCTGTGCCGCTGGAGCCCCGGCTCCGCCTCCACCGCCGCCCGACAGCCTGCCGTCTCTTCTCTCTCTGCTCTCTTTAGCCTTCCCAGTAGACCTTTCCCTCTTTGGCACATTTGGAAACTGCAGTTGATAGATGACTGGGACTAGTGAGCCCTTTTTGTTTTCAGAGAACACTGAGGTAAATATCTCCCTTCTTCCTCTTGGCTTGACTTCCTGCGCGCTAGCAGAGAGCTCCCGGTGGGAGGGTCTCTCCCTGGCGGGGGCCAGGGGCGTACAGTCATCCTCTGGAACACAGGAGGGCTGAGAAATCCGCTTCTCCTTCCCGCACCGGGTGTGTGGTCCCTAGCAGGTTCTCCTGCCCAGTGTAGTGGCCTGGGCCTCTCTGGGCCAGAGATCGTGGCCCAGGTTCCTTGTCTTTCTCAATGGCCTCTGTCCTCCAAGTGGCTTTTCCCTTGTGATGTCAAAACAGGCTGACTGCATTCCCAACCGGCCACTCCACCTCTGCTCCAACGCCCTCTGCCTTTCCAGCTGCTCCATGTCGTAGAGACTGGGCCTTGGTTTGGTAGGACGCTCCCCGCACCGGCGTGGGTATCCACTCTCCTTCCCTCTCTCCCCAGGGTCCAGCCACAGCAGGCCCTGCGTCCCAGTGGAGGAGAACCCTGGGCGGAATCCAGGAGTCTAACTGCTTGCCAGGCGCCGAGCTGGGGAATGGACACGCCCGTGGGGAGCTGGAGGGAGCCGCGGCAGCTTCGCAAGCCAGCCTGTCCCCACCACTCAGGCCACGTTTTAGATGGCCCTTAGAGACGCGGGTCCCAGGCTTCAGTGCCAGGAGCCTTCGGCAGGCCCCGCTGTCCTTCAGGAGGTGGGGTCAGCTGGCGCGGCCCCCCAGGCCTGCCTCTGGAAGAAACAAAGGAACAGAATCATCTCTGGTCCCCAGGGCCCAGCTTCCCCTTCCCCTCTGACGCTGTGACAGTGCAGCGTGTCTGTACCTCTTCAAGCCAGGCACTGTGGCCAGTGACCGCCTGGCGGAGGCCTGTGTCTGCTCTGCTTTCCATCGGCTGACCTCTGCTGCTGGCAGCACTTTCTGAGCAAATGGAGTTTTAGTTGGGGTTCATATCCGTGGCCTGGTCTACGATGTCCTTGGTCCTCGGTGGCTCCCCTCACCATGCCACATGCCAGTTCACATGCCCAGGCCTTCTCCACGTGCCAGACCAGGAAGCGGGGCTCCCTGCAGGTGTGTTCCTCGCCCTGCTCCTTCCTGTGGAGATGGCCTTTCGGAACCCTCCTGGAGTCCCGAGCAGCAGGTAGGGCCAGTGTGGCCCGGGGCCATCCCTCCACCCCGTGCTTGTTGCCCCCGACAGTATTGTCAGTTTCTGTGTGGAGAAGGGGTCAGGCATGGAGGAGGGGGCCGTCCTGCTGTGGCTGAGCCCCATCTCCACCCCGTCCACCTGGCTCGGGCCTTAGTGGAGGTGTCCAGGGAGGTGCCTGCGGCTGTGAGGTGCGGAGTGCAGCCGGGGACAGGAGGGCTGCTGTGACCAGCTGCACCGGCACCGCCCTTCTTTCTACAAAAACATCAGTTTCTCTCACATCCTTAGGACGTTTCAGGTTCTCCCCCCACCCCGTTTTCCCCTCGGGTCGCGGTTTCAGGGAGGAGTTTCTTCTTCCAGTTTACCTGAATCTTCCTCCCAGGGTGGGGCTGTGTGGAACGGGGCGCCACAGAGGTGCGGGGGCACAGACTGGGGAGGGGAGGAGGGGAGTCTCTGGAGCCCCTCTCAAGGAGATCTGGGTCCTTGTAAACGGGACTAAAGGACAAAAGAACAGGGGTGTGCGCACCTAGAAGTTGATCCTGAGGACCAGACCCAGGCGGGAAACAGACTCTAAGTCATCTCCCTCCACAGCAGGCTTCTGAGCCCCGGCTGCACGTCAGCATCACTTGACAGATTAAAAATCTGAGCTGGGCCCAGTGGTGCCCACCTGTCATCCCAGCTGCTCAGGAGGCTGAGGCAGGAGGATTGGGCTCAAGGCAGCCTCAGCAACTTAGTGAGACTCTTGTCTCAAAAAAGGGCTAGGGGCGTGCCTCCGTGGTGAAGCGCCCCTGGCTTCCATCCGTAGAGTTGAAAAAAAAAAAGACAATTTTTTTTTTTCCTACCTGAGCCACTCCTGAGACTTGCAGTTTAGTCATTCTGGGCTCGAGGGTGTATTTTTGAAATGGTTTCATATCCACAGGCAAGTTCCATACGCCCTTCACCCACCTGGCCTCCCCTGTTGACGTCCTAGGAAGCCTGGGTACATTGACGCACTGAACGTGGACATGGGTGCAGTCAGTGCTTGGAACTGAACCACAGGTTTTCTTTGGGTTTTCCTGGGGTGTTTTTTTTTCTTTTTTTTGGGCAATAACGCTCTTGCTGCATTCCAGGACCCAATCTAGGATACCAGGTTCCACACGGAGCTTTCTTTTCCCAATTTTTATTCTTACATAATTACTCATAGGAAGTTACAAAACTCGAGGTTCCCATGCACCCCTTACCTGGGTTCCCCCTACGGTTATTTGTTAGCTAATTACAACACAGTATCCGAATCAGGGCTTTGACACAGGTGCGGTGTGTCCTGGGCAGATTTGTGGAGCTGCGCCCGTGTCACCACAGAGATCTCCCTGGGCTGCCCCCGGAAAGCCCCCCCGTGCCATCCCCAGCCCCTGGCAGCCACTGACGTGTTCCTCTTGGCTCTCATGTTGCCTTTTCAAGACTGTTATATCAGTGGAGTCACAGTGACCACGTGGCACTCGGCACAATCCTCTGGAGACGCATCCAGGTTGTCGCTTGCCGGTGGTTGGGTCCTTTCTCTTGCCAAGGGGTGTTCCATAGTGTACTTACCACCCCGTCGAATGATATCCGGGTGGTTCCAGTTTTCAGCTATTCCAAATAAAGCTGCTATGGACATCATGTTCATGTGCACATGGGTCTGTGCGAAGATCAGCGTCCTGCTCTCAGATAAATGCCAGGGGTGCCATTGCTAGGTCATGGTGGTTGCGTGTTTAGTTCTTTTTTAGTGGGGGAAGGTACCAGGGATTGAATTCATGGGCACTCGACCACTGAGCCCCATTTTGTATTTTTTATTTAGAGACAGGGTCTCACTGAGTTGCTTAGCGCCTCACTTTTGCTGAGGCTGGTTTTGGACTTGTGATCCTCCTGTCTCAGCCTCCCAAGTCTCTGGGATGACCGGCAAGCGCCACTGCGCCCTGCTGTGTTTAGTTAGCAACCAACTTCAGGCACTCCAGAACAGAAACCCTCTCCGCCACTGGGTGATGCCGCTGTTCCCTCTGGCTCTTCTGGGTGTGAGCAGAACCGGTGGCTTTCATCCCCTTTCCCGGATGGCTAGTGGCATTTTTTCATGCATTTTCGGTCACATYTCTGTCCGTGTCCTTGGCCCACTTTCTAATTGGGCTGTTTTTTGCTGTTCTGAGAGTTTCTCATCTATTCTAAATGCTCAAGTCTTTTGTGGGGTTTTTGGTTTGCAAGTACTTTATCCTAGTCTCTGCTGCTGCTGTTTGGATCTGGAATGTCAGGGCCACATGTTAGGGGCTCAGTCCTCAGCTCGCAGTGGCTCCTGGGAGGTGTGGACCCTGCAGGAGTATGAACTGGTGGGAAGAAGGTAGGTCACTGGGGAGTGCGTCCTTGACAGGGACACTGGGACCAAGGCTCTACGTCACTCTGCTGAATACTCTGTCATGATGCACAGGCCCCTCGAGAGGAAACTAGGCGGCAGGGCCAGGTGACCATGGGCTGAGCCCTCTGAAACCATGAGCTCAAGTCCGCCTTTCTTCCTGAAGTGGATTATTTCAGGTTGTTATGGAAACAAAAAGCTGACACACGTAGCTTAGATTTCATCCTCTCTGCAGAGACTTATTCAGAACAAATGGTTTTAATTTTGAGGAAGTCACTTATTTCTTTTTATGCATTGTGCTTTTAGTGTCAAAAATTCTTCACCTAGTCTGAGGCCCCAGAGATTGTCTTTTTTTTCCATAAATGTGATGCATTTTGAATTAATCTTCATATAAGATTGAGGTCAAGGCTCTTTTTTTTTAAGCCTATAGATGATCAATTGTTCTGGTACCCTTTGTTAAAAAGGCATCTACCTAGCCCCTACATACCTGTCCCTCTGCCAATACCACGTCTGTCCCTTGGTTTTTTAAAATATTTTTTTAGTTGTATCTTTAATTAGCTGATTGATTGATTGATTGATATGTGGTGCTGAGAATTGAGCCTAGTGCCTCACACATGCTAGGCGAGTGCTCTGCCACTGAGCCCCAGCCCCTATGTAGTGAGTCTTAAAATCAATAGATTAGTTGTTCCTCCCACTTTGTTCTTTTTCTTAAGAATTTGAGAATAACCTTGTTTACATCTAAAAATATTGCCAAGATAAACCTGTACGTCAACTTGGGGAGAACTGACGTCTTGACTGTGTTGTATCTTTTGGTCCATGAACATGGTATATTTTTCCATTTATTTAACTTCTGTTTTGGAGATTTCAGCATCTTTCCCTGCATGTTTTATTAGCTTTAAACCCAAGTATTTAATTTTTCTAAACAGTGGTACTGTTTTTAATTTGTTTTCACAAGTTCATGGCTGTTATGCAGAAATAGGGGTTTGTAAGTTTGTGATGTTTCCTCAGATTTTGATGTACTCCCTCATCTTCTAGGTGGGTGTATCTGGTTAGGTAGACTCCTGGGGATTTCCAGTGTGTGCAGACAGGCTAGTCGTCTACTGATATGCAAGGTTTCTGACCTAATGATCTTTTAAAGCCTCCCCTGGTGATTTCTAATAAGCAGCCGAGGCTGAGAAACACTGCTCTTTGATCCGGTCCATCAATGAGCTGAGGTGCTCTGATAGCAAGACCCATGTGCATGGACCCCACACAAAGTCCACTCTGCACCTGGTGGCCTGTCTCAATGTCAGGCCTGCATTGTTACCAGGCTTGAGTTTGCTGCTAAGGTTGACAAGGCCTTGGGGCCCTGCCAGGCAGTCCCTGGTGCCCAAAAAAGACAAGTAGGCTACGGTAGGTCATCAACCAATTTAATGAACAAAAAAATACTGATGTGTATAAAAAGCCATTTTTGTCTGTCACTTAGTGTCCTCATTTTCTAGATGAGGAGTTGTCACTGCCATGGTCTACAGCGCCTGTCTGCCCATAGCCCCAGCATCTGGGCRTGCGCTGGCTGTCAGCACGGGGCAGGAGCTGCCCGTGGAACGGGTGTGGCCCCGGGGGGCTCTAGTCAGCCTTTCACAAGTATCATAGTCTTGTTCTTGGCCTGAGAAGGCCACCAAAGTGAAAGTCAACATAACCGCTGCAGAATGAATGTCTGCCCTGTGAGGTCAGCCAGGACCGCGAGGAGGCCAGGCGTTGTCCCAGCCCTGCCCTCAGCCTGTGGTTCCCAGTTGAGGGCAGGGCTCTTTAGGACCCGCTTTCTGGCATTAAGGAGCCGGCCCTGCCAGCGCTCAGGCCCACCCTGGGGAACTTGGGAACAGAGCCCCGGGAGCCTGGGGGAAGGGGCCCTCGTGGCCACCAGCTGGCAGGTGGGAATGYAGTGGATGCTGGCTTCAGCATGCACCCCTGTGGGGATGAGTGGGGGGAGGGGGTGGGGGGGTGGATGCGGCTGCAGGCCTGGTCTGGCCTCTCTAGGACCAGGGGCGGGAGAGCCTCAGGCACGAGGGTTGCGGGCCACTGCCCCAAGAGTTGGGTGGGCCACCACCCCAAGAGTTGAGTGGGCCACCGCCCCAAGAGTTGGGTGGGCCACAAACAAGCCCCAGCGCCCAGGCTCTCCAGCCCACATGGAGGGCCACCGGCCAGCCGCCAACGCTGCGCAGTCAGGCCCCAGGGGGCCCTGAGGTGGAGGGCACGGGTTCCCTGGACTGTGGCTCCAGCACCTCAGCCTTGGGCTTCTGAGCAACCCGGTGGGTGCTGGCGTCTGCTCTTCGGGGCGTCGCCCTGCAAGGGGCCCTGCAAACCACCAGAACCCGCCTCCAGAGTCCGGAAGACCCGAGGTGCCTAGAGCCACTTCGGACCCTACCAGGGTTGCGGCTGATAGGACCCAGGTCCCGGGAGACCCCGCCAGGGGCAGCTGGCAGCTGCACCAATGCCGGACGCCTGCCGGGCTGGCTCGGTGGCCTCTCCCGTGTCCTGGGTGCAGCTGCTGGCCACATCTGAATCACCACCTGCAGGAGACCGGCCCTGGAGGAAGGCGAGGGCCAGGCTCCTGCTCTGGGGACAGTGGACACTGAGGAGGCCTGAGGCCCAGTCCTGGTAGCTGGGCCAGGGCCCGTCAGCTTCTGCCCCACCCTGGGCTCCGCTGCCCTCCTGCCCTCGCCTGGACGGCAGCTAGCAGCTGTCTGTGGTCCTCTGCCTCAGTCCTTCCCAGCCCCAGCCCTAGTGGCCGACGCGGCTACCCTGCAACAAGCTGGGGTCTCTCCACTGCAGGGCTCTGACTGCCCCTCAGCTCTGACAGGAAGCAGAGCCCCGAGGGGGATTGCCACTGAAGGCGAGGCCCGCAGAGCACTGATGCAGGGAGAGGGGGACGGAATGGTGGCTGTGAGGGACCCACAGGTCGGGGGCCTCAGCAGCGGGTGCGGGGATGCCCCACGTGGGCCTGCAGCGCTTCCCGGATGCCCTGCTGCCARTCTCGTGCCAGCTGCACCGGCGTCAGGGAGGCCTAGGGACAAGGACACCAGGTCAGTCCTCCCTTTCCCCCAGCCCCGGGCGCAGGCCGCCACCCCGAGGGGACTCACCGCGTTCTGCACGGCCAGCTTGGCCCCGTAGAGCAGCAGCAGTTTCATGGCCTTGTAGTGGCCGTGCCGCACGGCCTCATGGAGCGCGGTGTCCCCTTCCTGTGGGGAGACGGGAGGTCCCACTCGTGCCCTCACCCGAGGGCCCTCAGCAGGGTGGCAGGGGCTGTGACCGAGGGGACAGCGCCCTGGTCTGCCGCAGGCTGCCCAGCCGCTGTGCCTACCTTGTCCTGGGCGTCAACGAGGGCTCCACACTCGATGAGGTGCTCCAGGCAGTTGGAGTGGCCCGTGCGCACGGCGACGTGGAGGGGGGTGCTCCAGATCTAGGAGGAGAGGGGCTCAGTGCCACGGCTAACCTGGTGGCCTCCTAGCTTCTCTAACAGGCCACCCAGAGCAGGCCCCTGCTCTCTCACCTTGTCCCGCGCGTTGACCCGGGCGCCCTGGTTAAGCAGCAGTTTGAGGATGTCCAGGTGTCCTCCTCGGCAGGCCCAGAACACAGGAGTCCTGTCCAGCTGTAACACAGAGGCCCCGAAGCCCTCAGACCCGCGGGGACGCTGCGCAGAGCGTTGGCAGTGAGGAGCAGCCTCCCGGGACTCACCAGGTCCCGAGCATCCACGGTGGCACCGGCCGCCAGCAGCTTGCTCACCAGCTGGAGGTGACCCTTCAGACAGGCCCAGTGCAAGGCTGTGCGGTGCAGCTGGGGCAGAGATGGGGTTAGGAGGGTGCAGCCACCCGGAGCACCCACCTGTTGTCAGAGGAGGTCCCCAAACACTCGCCCATCCTGCCATCAGCAAGGGCTTCTCCCTCCCAGCTCAGGACGCCACTGGTTCACGCCCCAAGGACAAGCTCTGTGGTCCCAGGCCAGGGCTGGGACCACAGTGGGACCCTCCTGCTCGGACAGGTGCCACAAGCCCTCGCCCACTGCACACCTTGTCGTGGGCATTGGGGTCCCCTCCATCGGTCAGGAACTTGTCAATCAGGGCCTCCTGGTTCTCAGCAGCTGCCTTCAGGAACATCTCCAGGTCCACAGGCTCCAGCTGGGCCTGGGGCTGCGACTGGGTGAGGGGAAGGACAAGACCAAGTCACTCCCCAGACCTGTAGGCACCCGTGACCACAGTGTCACCAATGATTCCTGGACAGCTGAGGACCAGTCCACCAATGCCCTGTGCGAGTAGTTCTCTTCAGTCTCCCCCTGAAATTCACACGTTGCTGGCACGGTGGCACAGGCCACGATCCCAGCTGCTCCGGCTGGGGCGGGAGGGTCACAGGCCTGAGGCCAATAGAGACGGGATCTTCCAAAAATCCAGATTGCATTTAGCAAGATCCTGTCTCTAAGGATAGAGAGCGCTGGCCCAGCACACGTGAGGCCCTGGCTGCCAGCCCCAGCACTGGGCGGGGACAGGGGGACTGAAGTCCTAACCCTTGTACCTTGAAATGAGACTTTATTGGAAATAGGATCCTTGCAGATCTAACTAGCTAAGATGAGGCCCCTTCCAGTGTGACCCGTGGGAAGGGTAGCCCTGTTCCAGTATGGCTGGTGTCCCTCTTTATTTATGGGTCCCAGGGGTGCCATGTCCTCACTGAGCCACGTCCTCCGCTGTTTTCTTATTTTGAGACAAGGTGTCCCTGAGTCACTCAGGCTGGCTTTGAACTCACAATTCTGCCTCAACCTCCTGAGTCACTGGGATTATAAGGGTATGCCGCTGTGCCCAGCTCTTGGTGTCCCTTTAACAAGGGACGTTTGGACCCTGGGAGGAAGCCACCTGAGGGAGTGCCGGAGAGCCGGAGCAGGAGCTGGGGCAGAGCCTGCAGAGGAAGCGGCTTGAGTTCTGTGGCTTGAGTCCCCAGTCGCCCTAGAAAGCCATCACGGCTCCAGTGTGGAGTCCATGTGGCTCCTGGTGGCCCCAGTACTACTCTTCCCCAAGCACCCTCCACCCCGGGACAGGGCCCTTCGCTTCTGGACCTGAGCCCCGGGCCCTTGCGGCCTCCCAGCCTTGACTTCTCACCTTAGCCACGGGCTCAGGTTCCCTGGGGGGGACTCTGCGTCTCAGTCTCAATCGCTTTTCTTTCCGTCTTTGAACTAAGTTTTCCAAGTCAGCCACGGTCTCCAGGTTCAGTCTGGAGCTGTTGAATCTTTCCAGCTGGGGTGGGAAGTGGCAGAAGGCCAGGCCAGGCCAGCCATCAGCCTGTGGCTGGGGCCCTGGGGCAGCCTCTTGGTTGGTGTGCTCCTGGGCTGCTCTGCCCAGAGACACAGCACCAGCCTGGCCCCCAGGCCCTCACTGCCCTGCTGCCCAACCTGGACTGGCCACCCCCCAACAGCACTCACTTTCCTCTTCTTCTCTTCTTCCAATTTTCGCTTCTCCCGGGCCACAGCCTCTTGGAGTCCCAGCCTCCAGTCAGTAGGCCAGCCTCCAGGATCAGGAACTTCAGGCCCAAATCCCAACGTTTTCCCTTCAACCCTCTCTCCGCTCACCTGCAGGACAGGATGTGGGTGAGCAGCCCGGGAAACCCGAGGGAGGAACCCACAGGAAGCCTGGTGCAGGACCAGGGAGACCCTGACCAGCCGAGCAGGGAGTCAGCCTGACCCTCCCTTCCTGAAGCTCCCTGGAGCTCTGGAGCATGGCAGACTCTGAGCCCCGTGGTGGTCCACACCCACTGTGGCAACCACAGGCAGCGGAGGCCAGGGCCGCTGCCTCCCCTGCCCTGCTCAGCAGCCTGCAGGGTTCAGGGCATGTGGCCACCTCTATTTATAGTCCTGGGCCGTGTCCAGGAGCCTGGGGCAGATGACACCTTAGCTTCCCTCTTGGGCTATTGTCCCTAGATTCCTACCAGCTTGTGCTACACTGTCACCTGACTCCAAAATTCTAAACCCCTGGGCTCAGCTCTCTGCCTTTGGTGAAGCTATTTCTACCTCAGTGAAAGGGGCTCAGACCAGCACTTCCCAAGGGCACGGAGATGACCCGAGCTGCTGGGAGCTGGGCCGCGCTGAGGATCGCGTGGGGTGGGGAGAAGGGCAGGGTGACAGGCCAGCACCAACACATGCCCTTCTGCGGCACCTGCCAATGTCACCTTCCCTGGGCCCTCCAGGCCCCTCCTGGCAGGGGCTATGGCAGGCGGGGGCCCCTGGCCGACCACGGGCCTGCCGGACAGCATACCTCACACCCTCTAAAACTGACACCTGAAATGTCACTTCTCTCTGTCTAGAGCTCACACAGCACCCCTCCCCCATACCCTCTGGACATTCCCAGAGCCAAGGCCATCATGGTGCTTGTACTAAAGGATCGCCTCGCTACCCCTGTGTCCTCTGCAGCCACCTGGCACTTCCTGTTCTGCCACCCAGTTCAGGGCAAACTCACTAAACTCATGCTGAGGGTGCAATTCTGTCTAGGTGCTTGTGAGGCGTCACAAAACACCAAAAAGACTCAGGAGGATGAGGCAGGAGGGTCACAAAGTTTGAGGCCAGTTTGGGCAACTTAGCAAGACCCTGTCTCTAAGAAGAAAAGGGCTGAGGATGTAGCTCAATGGTAAATTGCTCAGGTTCAATCCCAGGACCAAACCCTCAAACCAACCAACCAACCGACTCACAAAAAGCCCCGACAAACAAAAAGCAAGAGAACAAACGTCAGCAAGCTCAAGGGTTTTCATGTCCACCATCGCCCAACTCCTGCCCGCTGTCTCCCTGCCCTGCCCTGAAGCCCCTCAGCACCTCGCATGAGAATCAGGCAGAGACCAGGAGAGAACCCGGGCCTCCTTGTCCTCCCCGCACCTCAGACTGTGACAAGAGCTGCCACCCTCCAGCCAGCAGGTGCCATTCTGCTGGGACAGTCTGCCCCCCACCCCACCTCGTCCTCACCAACTGCTGAATGCTGACAAAGTCCATGGTCCCCCCTGCTCTCCACACCCCCAGTGAGGGGAGTGCGCGGCTCAGCCCTTTTATAGGAGAGCCGAGGCCTGGGGGCGGGGAGGACAGGCTTGTGCCAGGACCAGATGACTCTGGAGGGCTGTCACACTCCCCAAAATACCAGCCTGGGACTGTGGCCCACGGAGGGCAAGAAAAGGTGCGGCCAGGAGCTGAGTCGGCCACCTCCTAGACAGCCACTGCCCTGCACCTGCCACACCCACGTCCCAGGGAGCCCAGGCCCCAGCTGGGGACGTTCCCCACTCTTCTGGTCCAGTGCCCACRTGTGAGGAGCCCAGCCCCAGCCTCCTGTTGTGTCTGGCTGCCTGGCACCAGCCCAGCTGCCCCCGCACAAGGCCAGAGTCCTCCCGAAACCTCAGGAGGGACAGGAGCAGAGGCTGACCTACTGCCTCAGGAATCCCCGTGGCCTCTCCAAGAGGGACCCAGGTCCCACGCGATGGCCCAGTCTCAAGGCCACCCTTCCTCCTCCGTCCCTCCCTCACCTCAGCTGACAGCCCCATCACCTGGAGGCGGTCATGGGTCCTCTGCCCTGTAGAAGTCCTCCGTGCCCCCAGGCAGGACCCACCAGATACTCTCGGGACATGGCGGGCCCCTCCAAAGGCACAAGGGACTGAGGCTGCAGGTTCCAGTTAGCGGGTGACCCCGAGACCCCTCTGCCTCGTCAAATGTCCTAAATCTCCTTCAGAAGCCACGTGTGCCCTCCGCCCAGCTGTGCTGAACTCTGCCTTGACCTTTGAAAGGAAACCAGATAGCTGGTAAATAAGGCTCCAGAATCGGAGCCACAGCATCAGAGGTGACCAAAACAGGAAGGGGGAGCTGTGGCCGAGGAGGCCCGTGGTCCCAAGGCTGCAGAGGCCTTGGGGAACTGGGGAAACCCAGAGCTTCTGAAGGACCCGATTCTGAGGCCTGGGGGTGTCTTCTTTCGACAAACTCTCCAGGGTCTGAGGAGGGAAGGGCTTCCCAGGGCAGAGCCAGGGCAGGCAGGAAGTCAGATGCCAGCTGTGCCCTCTGCTGTCCACTCGGCCTCCACCTCCTGCGACAGCAGGGGACAGGGCGTCCGAGCCAACAGGATTCATCTGAAGTCCTCAGCAGAAAGCCAGTCCACCCCCTGAAACTAACGGCTCTGTCATCAAGATCCCCAGCACTAACTTTAAACAAATTCTTCCTTACAGAAAATCCAAACATAAAGCCCAAGTCCCCCGGATGAGCCCCTCCTGCCTCGGTGGCCCAGGGAAGCCACAGTGCTGGCTCAGTGCACGCCTCTGCCTTCCTTTGTGTCTCGTGCCCTGTTGTTCCTAGAGACTCTGTGCCGTGGACACACCAGCACACGCCGCACTCCAGGAACATGCCCCTGCCCCACGGGCACCCTGGGTAGCACCCCTTCTCCTGAACACCCAGGTTCTCATGCCCCACTGCTGTTTGCTGCTGCTGTTGTGTTTTCTCTACAGTCTGGGACCGACCCCAGGGCCTTGTACGTGCAGGCCAGCGCCATGGCTCTCTGAAAAGGCCTCTGTAGACAGACATTTTTTTTTTTTAACTTTTATTTATTTTATGTGGTGCTCAGGATCAAACCCAGGGCCTTGCACATGCGAGGCAAGCGCTCTATCACTGAGCCACAACCCCAGACCGAAAGACATCTTTTATCCATGGAGGAATCTCTCTAGGTAGGCACAGAGAAATCAGATTACTGGCCCTGCTCATTTTATTTAAATAGATTTTGCAAAATTGCCATCCACAGTGACTGTACCAGTTCCTATGAACAGATACCAACAAAGACAAGTGATAATATGAAAGAAAATTAAAAAATTAATGTAAGCTGGGTGCAGTGGCGCACACCTGTAATCCTTGTGGTTCTGGAGGCTGAGGCAGGAAGACTGCGAGTTCAAAGCCAGCCTCAGCAACGGTGAGCCACTAAGCGAGACCCTGTCTAAATAAAATACAAAATAGGCTGGCTCAGTTAGTTGAGTGCCCTTGAGTTCAATTCCAGGACCCCCCTCCAAAAAAAAGGCATATCTGCAAAACAGTGTCGATACCAGAATATAAACAACTCCTACGAATATAAAGAAAAAAAAATTGAAGATGCTTGCCTATAATCTCAAAGACCCAGGAGGCTGAGGCAGGAGGGTCACAAGTTCAAGGCCAGCTTCAGCAAATTAGTGAGGCCCCAAGCAACTTAGTGAGACCCTATCTCAAAGTAAAAAAGGGCTGGGGGTGTAGCTCAGGGTAAAGCACCCCTGAGTTCAATCCGCCCCCCCCCCCACCAAAAAAAAATTTTTAATGGGCACAGGCAGGCAGTTCAGAGACAGGTGTGCAAGTCTCGCCAGTAATTAGCAACGCAAAACAAAACAGAACCAAGGAGACTTCCTACTCCCTGGATTACCAGGGTCAGTGAAATTGTTTTATAAAAGCCAGTGTGGACAAAGCTTTGGAACTGGGCACTCTTGTAAGTTGTGGGCAGTGTGCCAGATCCTCAGATGCGTCCCCCAGATTCACCTGCTCAGTCCCCAGAGCCACCCTGAGTACGCTCTCCTCTGATCCTCACCTCACAGCCCTGGAAACTGGAGCCACACAGGTAACGTGGCTGGGCCAAGATCCTCAGTGGCTCCATCACCTCGTCAGGTTTTCCTCTAGTATTCACCTGGTTTGGGGGGTTTCATTTTTGAGACAGGGTCTTACCAAGTTGCTGAGGCTGGCCTCCAAGTTGTCCTGTCCCAGCGCCCACGTTGCTGAGGTCACAGGTGAGCAAGCCCCAGCTAGTTCTGTTTTTATATCAAGGTCTTTCATTCTTGGAATTCAGCTTGAATGAGGTAAGGACACGAGTTTATTTGTTTCCAGATGAGTGGCCGTTCATGTGACAGCAACGTAGAATATGCTCCTCTGTCCAGGCGTCCACACTTCTAGCCACACTTCCCCCTGCCACGCGGGCTCTCGGGGTCTCAGCCACAGCTTCCTGCCTGCAGCTGGGTGCTGGGCAAGGCAGGGGCCTGGACAGCTGTCAGTGTCCCTCCAAGGGCGGCCTGATGCAGGGGGGCCTCAGCTGGCCAGCAGGCCACGCAGGTCGCTGTTGCAGGGCAGCAGGTCGCAGGCCAGCCGTGCCTTCCGGTCRCGCACAGCCTTCAGAGCGGGGCTGTGCTGCAGCAGCAGGCAGCAAATGTCCACGTGCCCCTTCTCGGCTGCCTGTGGAGACAGGGGTTTCAGAAGGGCTCCTTGGGCCTGTGCCTGGCTCCACTTCCAGGAGTGTTCCTCACTCCTACAAGGCCTGGAAATGGAGGTGCTGCTGGCTGCAGAGGTCCCTAACTCCCACTACCCAAGGACCTGTATGCGCCCGGTGGGGTGCCCAGCCTGTTATTCTTGCTTCCTTTGCCAAGGCCACTCTTGTTTGGACAGACTTGCTCATTAAGAACAAGAACAGAACCTTGAACCTGCAGGCATCTCCAGCCAGGCGCTGGGAGCCTGGGCAGAGAACATGGACACAGCCCTGCCCAGGAACRGAAATGAGCAGAGAAACGGGGGCCCAGGCCCCACTTTGTCGCGTTCCTCACAACTAAAGCACACAGAGTCACTCCAGGGGAACTGGGCTGCACGAAATAACCACACAAGAGAGGAGATACCTTTTTCTTTGGGGTCCTGTAATGGCTCCTCTGACCTTATGGGTGGGGGGGAGAGAGAGAGAGAGAGAGAGAGGGAGAGGGAGGGGGAGGGAGAGGGAGGGGGAGGGAGAGGGAGGGCGCTGACCACTTTTATTGAGGAGAAGCCATTCAAATGAGGCCAGGGGTCGGTTTCAGGGGATTGAGTCCAGCTTCCTGATGTCTGCTGTCGGCAGGTTGACTGACATCTAGGAAGGCCCCACCCAAAGGCAGAGCAAGAGAAGGGACACACAGAGGGTGTTTCCCAAACAGGGCAAAGGGGTGATATCACAAAGGAGCAGCTGAGGGGAGCTTAATCCATGGGGTGACACACCACGTCTGAAGGTCACTGTGAGATGTCTAGGTCACTGTGAGATGTCATGACGGTCAAAGCCTCTGGCTCCAGGATGGAAGGTCAGAGTGGCTGTCCCCATTTCTCCTTCTTTTCTGAGACAGAAAACCCTGTTCTAAATATCGCTATCTAACCTACCTCCTCCAAAAGACAACAGAGGTCAGTGGTTCACATTAAAGATCTCATTTAGCCTTCACTGACCCTCAGGAACCATGTTCATCCCACTTCACAGAGGAAGAAACATAAGCTGATATAAACTAAGTAACTTGCCCAAGGTCACAGAGCAGCCTGGGACCCCAAGCGGTGGGTCTGGCTTTGGAGTCTGAGCTCTCCCCACTCTACCCCAGGCTGGGGGTGGAACCTGGGGCCTGGGGCCTGTCAGGCAAGTGCTCTGCCACTGAGCTAAATCCCCAACCCCAGTCCTTTTGGTATTTTATTTATAGACAGGGTCACAGTGAGTTGCTTAGGACATCATGAAGTAGCTGAGGCTGGGTGTGAACTTGTGATCCTCCCGTCTCAGCCTCCTGAGTGGTGGGGACTACAGGTGAGCGCCACTGCACCGGTGGGTGACGACAGGGGCTTTTGAGAGGTATCAGAATTAATACTAGCAGCGACCACCATTCCAAATTTGAATCCAAACCTCTGTCTGCAGATGCCCCTGGAGAGCACAGATTGAGGGCTCTGGGCTCTGCTGCCTCAATTTGGGTGGCGCTGTGCCGGGAGCAGCTGTGAGGGGTCCCACCTAACTTTTTTTTTTTACGGAAAATGAAGTGCTAATGTTTGCAAAGTCCATTTAAAAAACCACACACCGAACAAAACCAAAAACGTATGTCCATCACCGTCTCTACATACCTACCCCCAGGTTCTCACTGTGGGCGAGGGAAGGGGCAGCGCCGCAGCTGAAGGCGGCCAGCCGTGGGCCACACAGCCAAGCACACCCCAGCAGCGTCCTGCCGAGATGCTCCCTGTGCGTGTGGCAGCAGAACACCTGGGCCACGGCAGCCAGCGCCCATGAGAGGGGCCGAGGCAGGCAGAGCTCAGGACAAGCGGCAGGGGTAGGCGACCCTGGCCAGCCTGGCGGTTTGGCTCTGGACTTGGGAAGAGAGCTTCTGGAGACTGCAAAGAGGGCAGGGCTTGATGAGACTCTTTGGAAACCATTGCTCTGGTGGGAAAACCAGGGTGGAGACAGGAGGTGAATGGGTTCACATCCACGGGCCTCTTGCTGAGACCCCTCTGCAAGACGCACGAGAACTGCCTGGAGGGGCACCCGGAGACCAGGGGCAGACCCTTGGCTTCAGGCTCTTCCCCACAAGAACAGGCGTTTCTGGTCAAAGGAGTTTAATGGCACCACCGTGGCTGTGAGCTGGAAGTGGGCTGCCAAGCAGGGAGGGGGGAGTGTCAGAAAAGCACCCCTCAGGGCTCCACAGGACAGAGAGCTGAGCACCTGGCTCACGTCCGTCCGTGGTGTGCACAGGAAAAAGGCTGGGAAATGGTGCTGATCCTTGGGAGTTGGCACACACTGAGGCTTCAGGTGCTCTTCACTTCCTCCTCTACACGTTCCCGTTCCCCATGTTTTCTACCGTGAAGATGTCGTTAACCTTTATAATAAGAAAAAGCGAGTTCTACAAGTGGCAGAGGGACGCACCTTGTGAAGACTGGTCATGCCATCGTCGTCCACCAGCTGGGGGTTGGACCCGTGTGCGAGCAGCAGCCGGGCAACCTCAGTGTGCCCACAGTAGCTGGCCCGGTGCAGTGCAGTGGCGCCCCCGTGCGTCTGGGCATCGCACTTGGCCCCGCTCTCCAGCAGGAACTGACAGACAGCATAGTGCCCATTGCGGCTGGCGTAGTGCTGCAAGGACAGAGGCCGTGGCTAGACAGCAGGACCCAGGCAGGTGACAGGGTGGTGGGGGAGACATGGGCTCTGTAGCAACGGGGGCCCAGCTTAGGGACCACCTGCTACTGTGCATCCTAGCATCAGTTTCTCCTACTGGGATAAACATTCCCACCTCATAAGACGGTCATGAAAATAAAATGAAATACCTGATGTAAAGCTCTTATACTAATTAAAACATCCAGGTTCACATGATGCTTAAAAAAGAAACTTTGCAGCTAGATGTGGTGGTGYACACCTGTAATCCTAGTGACTCGGGAGGCGGAGGCAGGAGGATTGTACATTTGAGGCCAGCCTCAGCAATTTAGTGAGGCCCTAAGCGACTTAAGACCCTGGGTCTCAAAATAAAAAAAATTTAAAAAGAAAACTGGAGATATGCTCAGTAGTTAAGCATCCCCAAGTTCAATTCCCAGTACCAAAAAAAAAAAAAAAAAAAACAGGAAGCTTTGCTGAAATATAGGGAACATAAAATGTCAGTCACCTTTCCATCACCGTGACAAAGATAATCAGCTTAATAAGGGAAGTCTGGCCTGGGGCAGAGCTCAAGAGTAGAGCATAGGCCTAGCTTGTGTGAGGCCCTGGGTGTGACCCCTGGCCACACAAAAACAGTAACAATAATAATGACAATGACAATGAAACGATTCAGACCGTGGTTGGCTGGCCTGCTGCTTTTGGGCTGGTGGCAGTCAGCACACCATGGGGATGGGTGCAGGCAGGCGAAGACACTTACCTTGTGACCTCTGGAGAAGACAGACAGGAAGGGCACCCCCCATGACCTCACCTCCTTCCCTTGGGCGGCTTCCTACAGGGTCCCCCCCCCAGGAGCACTGAAGGCTGGCCTCTAGGGACACTTAACCACACTGGGGCYGTGAGGATACAAGGTGAACACTGCCCTCCTCTCCTCTGACCGTGCGCTCCTCAGGCTCACCAGGGCAGTGTAGCCAGCAGAGTCGGGCTGGCTGGGGTCTGTGGACTTCTGGATGAAGTGCTTCACTCGGTTCAGGTCTCCATTCAGGGCTGCCGACCAGATTCCTGCAGAAAGACAGCCACGGTCCTAAGCAGGGCAGATGACAGGATTTCTTAGCATTTCCACTATTTTTTTTTTTGTACTGGGGATTGAACCCAGAGACACTTAACCACTCAGCCACATCCCCAGCTCTTTTATTTTTATTTTGCTAAGTTTCTTAGGGCCTTGCTAAGTTGCTGAGGCTGGCCTCAAACTTGTGGTCTTCTTGCCTCAGGCTCTTGAGTCTCTGAGGTTACAGGTGTACATCATGATGCCTGGTTGAAACCTGAGACTTTTGAGTGCCSACAGGACATCACAAGTGGAAAATTCTACACATGATTTCACATAATGGTTTGCAGTGAAAACAGGCCTAATGAGAATATTGTATGAAATTACCTTCAGGCTAAAAAGAATACAATTTTTTTAAAAAATTACCTTCAGGGCTATGTGAATAAAGTTTATGTGAAAGAAACATAAGTGGATGTTGTGTTTAGACTTGGATCCCATTCCCCAAATATCTTAAATATTTGCAAATATTCCAAAATCAGAAAAAAAAAATCTCAAATCTGCAACACTTCTGGTCCCAAGTATTTGGGATAAGGGATGCTCAACTTGTACTTAATATGTACCTAGTACTGTTGTAGGCACTAGGGGTCAGCTGACAAAATAACCCTAATCCCCCCGACACACAATGGCTTTATGGAACTTTTCTTTCTTCTTTTTTCTTTGGTGGTGGTACTGGAGATTGAACTCAGGGGTGCTCTACTACTGAGCCATACCCCCAGCCCTTTTTAAAATTTTGAAACAGGGCTTCACTATATTGCCCAGGCTAGCCTGGAACATGCAATCCTCCTGCCTCAGCCTCTGGAGTCAATGAGATTACAGGCATGCATGATACTACAGAGTAATTACACTCTAATTAAAGGAGAAAGATGAAAATAATATATGTATATGTATGTTTATATACCTTATATATAGGTATGCATAATCTGCTATACACCTATGTTCAAAAACTATCCATATAATCATGTATATACCTGTTTACCTAGTATTCTGTATACTTGGTAAGTCAGGTTGTGCTAAGTGCTCTGAAGAAGACAGGGAAGGGCTGTATGCAGTGGGTAGGGATGGCCTCTCTGACGAGGTAACACACGAACAAAACAAAGGAAATGAGAAAAGGCATCACTTGAATAGATGCATGAAGAAATAAAAGCAGAAGAAACTCCCTCCCAAAACCAGATACCCTGACCTGTGCAACTTGGAGGTACAGGACCTAAATCTTCATTATTCCCCAAGTTAATTATATTATATATGGGGCTGGGGCTGGGGCTCAGGGGTAGAGCACTTGCCTAGCATGTGTGAGGCACTAGGTTTGATTCTCAGCACTATGTATAAATAAATGAACAAAATAAAGGTACAGCAACAACTAAAGAAACTTTTTAAAAAAGAATATTATATACAGAGGTTTATCAAATTAGTGCACATACAAACGTGGCATATGAACCCCACTATTATGTATATTTATAACGCACCAATTTTAAAAAGTTATAATCTAAGTTGAGTGTGGTGGCACATACCTGTAATCCCAATAACTCAGGAGGCTGAGGCAGGAAGACCAGGAGTTCAAAGCCAGCCTCAGCAACTTCGTAAGGCCCTAAGCAACTTAGTAAGCCCCTGTCTCCACATAAAAATAAAAAGGGCCTGGGAATATAGCTCAGTTGGTAGAGGGCTTGCCTCGCATGCTCAAGGTCCTGGGTCCAAACCCAGCACCACAAAGTAAATAAATAARCAAAAAGGTCTGGAAATGTAGCTCAGTGGTAGAGTGCTCCTGGGTTCAATCTCCAGTATCAAAAAATAAAAATTAAAATAATTAAAATAGAAACAAAAAAATACAGAGAACATTTAAAAGTTATCAAAAAGAAAAGATCATGATGCATCAAAGACCAACAAACAGATTTACAGCAGTCTTAACAACTGTTGCAGATACAAACAGATAAATAATAATATTTCAAAGGACTAAGGGAAAAAACCTAACCTGTCAACCTCGAATTTTATGCATAGCTAAGCTATCACAAGTGCAGGGGAAGGAACAGACAGCATCTTCCCTGAAAAAACTATCAAGCAGCTATTAACTATGTACTTTTGGCGATGCATGGTGGCACACACCTGTAACCCCAGCAGCTCAGGAGGCTGAGACAGGAGGATTGCAAATTCAAAGCCAGCCTCAGCAACTGGGCCAGGCCCTAAGCAACTGAGCAAGACCCCGTCTCTAAATAAACTATAAAAAAGGGCTGGGGTGCTGGGGTTGTGGCTCTGCGATAGAGCGCTTGCCTAGCACGTGTGAGGCCCTGGGTTAGATCTTCAGCACCACATAAAAATAAATAAAATAAAGGTATTATGTCCAACTACAACTAAAAAAGTTTATTTATTTTTAAAAAAAGGGCTGTGGACGTGGCTTAGTAGTTAAGCACCCCTGGGTTCAATCCCCAGTACAAAAAAAAAAAAAAAAAAAAAAGTACTTTTGAAAGAAGAAAAATGAACCCAGGGCTGGGGATGTGGCTCAAGAGGTAGCGCGCTCGCCTAGCGTGGGTGCGGCCCGGGTTCGATCCTCAGCACCACATACCAACAAAGATGTTGTGTGCGCCGAGAACTAAGAAAAAATAAATAAATGTTAAAATTCTCTCTCTCTCTCTGTCCCCCTCTCTCACACTCTCTCTTTAAAAAAAAAAAAAAGAAAGAAAAAGAAAGAAAAATGAACCCAAAGAAAAGATACGATTTGAAGGGGGGAAAATTCACACAACAAAATTGATAAAGATTTTATCATTGTGGGAAATAGAAAACAAATGAATAAGCAAAATGATGTCAGGTATCAATAATGCTCTGAGGAGAGCAAGGTGACAGGTGTTTGTTTCAGAGCTACCTAGAGGGGAAGGGCCCTGCCTTGGACAGTACAAGTTTTCTTTCTCAATAGCAGCACTGACCTTCTGGTGGGGAACATTCCTTGTGGTGGGGAGTTGATGTGGGCATCAGGGGATGTATACAGCACCCTTCCATGTAACAACCAAAAAATGTATCAGGAGGTAGAACTGTCCTCTCTTGAGAACCCTAGAATAGAGTGTTCTGGGAGGGCCTCTATGAGGAGGTGACACGGAGCTGCCATAGGAAAACAAAGTACTAGATAGCCTAAATGTTGGAGAAGGTCACTCTAAGGAGATGGGACCGCAAGTGCAATGACCTTCATGGGAAAAGGTCTTGTATCTTTGAGAAACCAAAACAAGAATGGAGGAAAGCAAGGATGGGAACTGAGATGAGTGTGAGAAGTGGAGAAGGTGACATCAGCTCCAGACCTCTGTGGGCCACTATACGGAATCTGGATTTATTCTAAAAGCAACGGGAACTGCAATGATCTGGTTGAGTATTTTCAAAAAGTTTCTCCGCTGCTGGGTGGAGAGGAGAAAACGCTGAAGGAGCACGGGTGGCGGCAGGAGAGGTAGAGGATGCAGCAGGCGCAGGAGCCMCTGCCTGGCCATGGGGAAGTATGAATGCATGAGCGGCGGCAGCACCCAGCCACCACCTGGCGACAACGTTATTATGACTGCAGAACCTGCCTCTTCCAGGTGACACAGCACGCAGCACAGTGGTTCTGAACAGAAGAGGGACCTCGGCTCCCAGCCTTCCTTACTAGCAGCATGATCTCTGGACCATCTGGGACCGGTAGGTGGGGACRTGGCCACCCGCCTCGCGCTCTTTGCCACGGCAGGAGCTTCTACACCGGCCGGCACGGCACGCTCGCCGGCTCAACAGGGCCAAATCCCCTCGCCGCGCGGCCCAGGCCTGATGCCCCATGCCCTCCAGGTGGGCACGATACCCCAGCAGAAGACTCTGGTCCTCTAACCCCTGAGCGACTGTCTCTCTCAGGTGAGGAGCCAGGCCTTGCCATGCCACTTGGGAAAGTTATGGAAACCAATGCCTCGGACTCCCCGGCTCCACGCGAGACCAGGTGTCCAGGGACGCGCCCGCGCCGGGGTCTGCAGTTCCCAGCAGCGCGGGGGCTGTGCGCCTGTCGCCCTGCAGCCCTTTGGCACCAGGCCCAGGAGCGCGGGGCTCGGTCCTTTGCCCCGTATCCGTGCCGGCGGACTCTGGGGCCGCGCGGCCGCCTCACCCCTCTCGAAGTCCATCTCCTCCAGCGTCTGCTGCACGCCGGGCACCGCCACCGGACGTGAGCAGCAGTGTGAGTCCGCGAAGGGCCGCGGTGCCGCCATCCCAGCCTCGCTGGTCGCCAGCCAGGCCTCAGTGAGCCAGGAGGGCGGACGCAGTGCCCACCCCGCCACCCCAATCTGACCAATCGGCGCCAGCGACTGTCTCCAGAGTCCCGTCCCTCTCCAGAGCTGACCAATGCAGTGTCTAGGCCTTTGCTCAAGAACCAATGCGGAGGCGGGGCGGGACTTGCTGCGCCGGGCCGCGCTCCGACGCCGCCGCGCGAGGGCGCGCGAGGCTAAGCGGTGGGCGGCGGAGTGGCGGTCTCGGGTCCGGGGCTGGACGCCAAGGGAGTGCCGGACGCCGCGGGGAGGGCGGGCAGTGCTGCCGCGCCTTGTAGGGTATGGGGACCAGGCAGCTGGCCCCCGCCAGCAGCTTTTGTCACGTTCTCCAGAACCCAGCCCTTTAGAGGCCTCGCCAGCTCTTTCCGTTACTGCCCTCCACCCACCCAGATCCCCACGGTAGCGGTCATCGGGAGCGCTCCGCGGTCCTTCACGCCTCCTTCCCCGCACCACCCAATGCAAGCCGACCATGGGCGGCGCAGTGGCCGCCCGAAAGGCCCCGGATTCCGCCCCCCTTCCTTAAAAGTCTATTAGGGAGCTGGTGACAACATGTTCTGCGCCTGGGTGCAGCCACGAGGGCAGGGCAGGGCAGGCCAGGGCCTCAGTTTCTTTCAGTCACCCCCACCTGAAGTGGAACCCGGCAGTGCTGTACCACCTAGCTGCACCTCCAGTCCTAAATATTTTTAAACAGGGTCTCCCGGGCTGGCCTACAACCTGCGAGAATGCCACCTGTCTTTTGAGTAGCTGGGATTGTGACCCTGAAATCAATCCTCGTGTGTCCCTCAAGAGATCCTCTGGGCTGTCATCGGCAGACCATGTGCTGAGTGTAGCACGCTTCTGATCTGGCCTTCTCAACCCACGCTCGCGGAGACCCAGGGCGCCAGCCTGATCAAGCAGTCAAGTGTGTAGGGAGACCTCGTTTGCACTGCCTTTCCACTGCCTCTGCTCCTGGGCGTGAGCKCGTGGTGTCTAAACCCGTCAGGAGCACTCAGAAATGAATCCAAGCTAGGGCCTGTTGTTTGTCTCATGGAACATCTGGACCCTGTACCACCCTCTCACCAAGAGAAGGGCTTGGAACACACYGGGTGGCAGGAGGGGAAGTTCCTTCCCTACATGGTTGGGGCACTGAAGACTTGGCATTCTTGCATCTCTCCTCCCTGATCCATCCTCTTGCAAGCAACCACTGTCCACACACCCTTAGGCTGCTTCTAGGACTCCTCCTTCAGCCCCCTGACTCCCACTCACCCTCCCCAGAGTTCTGGGAAGGCAGGCCCCTCCCCACCCCTGCCCTGACTTCTCCCTTTGGCCAGGAGCCAAGCCTGGCTCCCGAGGGGCTGTGGCCCTGGTCTCTTTCCCAGCCCTGTAGGCACCACTGTGGGAAAACACTGGAGTCTGGGCTGTCCCCTCTGGCAAAGGACACAGGCAAAAGGGCCCACGGAAAGGGCAGATGCCCTGGGACTGTGGTGGGAAGCCCCATCCAGCCTGGATCTTTCCCTCTTGGTACCCTGATAGATGGGCTTTGGCCCAAATGTCTTATCCCTGTCACAGCTTTATTTTCTCCATTTTATTTGTCAATATAAAAATATTCAAATATTTACAACAAATAAATACGTGGGGACACAATAAGTTACACTGTTAGGAGAGCCCTCTTCCCAGGGCTGGGAGAGGATATGCCAGTATCCACAGCATGCCCACCCTCTCCATTCCCTCCCTCATACCTTTCCCAGCCCTGTTTGGTAAGAAGACAAGTATAAAATACCACGGAACCCGCGGCCAAGTGGGAGGCCCCGCCCACCCTTCCCCCCAAACACACAGGAGGCTCCATCTCCCTCCCCCCACCCTGAAAACATTCACAGCCCTAGAAGCAGGACTAGGCCCACCCCTGAGCCCTGCACTCCCCCCAAAGGGGTACAGCACCCTGCCCACCCCACCCCAATATGTACATCACTGCCCACACTCGGGGCAGGTGGGGGTAGGAGAGGCAAAGTGATTCGACCCCTTCCCCTTCATAGCTCCAAAGACTCACCAGGAGGAACCCAGGCCAAGGGAAGACTGACAGAAACAGGAAGGCTACGCCACACACACACACACACACACACACACACACACACGCACACGCACACGCACACCACACAAATGCACACAAACGCACACACATCTTGAAACTTCTGCCTTGAAACATTTTGGCTGCTGGGGTCCCACGTGTCCAAGATTCACAGAAGAGGAGGAGCCTCCTGTGCGGCTGGTGCCCTGGTGAGCCACGCAAGTGGCAGTGCCCATGCTGAGCAGGTCCTCATGGCCGGGCGAGTGCTGGGCAGCGCCTGTCCCAGGCAGAGCAGGTGCCCGTGCCATGTCCCTGAGGTAGCTGGTGCCTGTGCAAATGTAGGCGTTTCGCCTCCCCCGCCCCCGCCGATGCGGTGGGCAGCTCCCCTCATACCGAGGACTCCTCGGGGTTGGAGTCGGGCAGCGGCTGGCGCTGCTGCAGTTTGCGCCGCAGTTCGTCAGCCAGCTCAGGCAGGGGATGCCCTCCCCGGTCCTCCCCTCCTAACTGCAAGCGCACATAACCGTTGGCATTTGAGTTCCGCCCGCCCCCCAGGTGAAGCCTGGTTGGAGAAGGCAGGGGCTGGCCTGGGATGCCAGGAGGTGGAGATGGGGGCCCCCCTCCGGGCTGGCACCGGGCGTGTCCAGGCACAATCTTGAGGGAGCCATCTGAGTAGTAGTAGCCAACGGGATCCCAAAGTTTCTCATCTGTTTCAGGGCCGGGCCGAAAAGGGGGACTGGTGGGTTCTTTGGGCAGCTCCAGGGGGTATACCAGGGTCCTCTCAGCTGCCTTGGCGCCTTTTTCCAGCTCTTCCCGCAGCCGCCGGCGCAGGGACAAAACCAGAAGCAGCAGCACCAGGCACACGGCCCCCAGGGCCACCACAGCCAGCCACACTAGCCCCAGGTTTTCCAAGGGAGCCCGGGCCTCCAGGGTCACTGCGGGGCCCGCCACCACAGCCACAAGGTAGCCTTCAGCAGCCAGCCGTGCCCCCTGCTCCTCTGAAAAGCAGTGGTAGGTCCCAGCATGGCGGGGCTGGGCGGCCATCACCACCAGGGCCTGGAGTCGGGCATCGTAGAGGAAGGAGCCGGGCTGTTCTGCAGGCAGGTCCCGGCCCGCAAAGGTCCAGCGGGCGTGGGCCAGGTTGGAGGAGAGGCGACAGGGCAGCACCAGGTCCGTGCCTGCTACCACTGTGATGTTCTTGGGTGTGAGCCTGGCTGCAGCAGCAGAGAGAGAAGGGAGCAGGGTCAGTGCAAGAGACCCAGGGCAGGGGGACGCAGAAACCCCAGCTGAGGTCCAGGGCCCATCCCAAGGGGACAGGGCCAGGAAAGAGCTCACCTTTCTTACTGCCACGAAGGTCACAAAAGGCCGAGGTGTCCGAGATGGTCATGTGCTGAACCAGCAGAGATCTGGCAGAAGCAGGGGGTGTCAGTAGCCTGGCTCCAACACTGTGCCCACCCACCTTCCTGATCCCAGCCCTCACAGAGCCCAACTCACCCAGAGTGGCTGGCTACAGACACACAGCGGCTGGTGTTGACGCTCCAGGCACAATAGGGGTCCCGGGCGAGGACACAGTCTGCACAGAAGCGGTACTTCACACAGTCTGCCAGGGGCAGCTGGACCAGCTGAGAGCGGGAGCCCGCAAAGAGCAGCTTCTGTAGGAGAAGAAGCATGAGAGGGTCCCCAGGGCCAGACACAGCATAGGGTGGCTCAGACCCCAAGAAGCATAAGCAGGAGAGGTGATCAGATGAGGAGAARGCAGAACGACAGCCCTCCAGAGAGGACCCAAGGCATAAAGAACACAGAGGTTTCCTGCCAGCCAGCACAATCCTAAGCACCTTATGGTGGACATGACCTTATTAGGGCCAACAGACACGTGAGCCTGAGAGGTGTGATATCTCCCTCTCTCTCTCTCTGATTCTCTCTCTCTCTCTCTCTCACACACATACACACACACACACACACACACACACACACTGCAAGAAACATGTTCCTCCAGCTCCATCAGCTCTTACAATAGCACCAGTGCAGCATAAGGTGTTTTCCTCTGTTTGAATGGTAACTGCCAATCTGAGTGTTTACACAACCCCACACTCTCTTTCTGCCATTATTCCATGTGCTGGGCACAATTTTAAGTCACAATAGCTGGCAAAAGGCAAACAAATCAGCATCGAGAGGGTGCTGCAAATGTGCCAGAAAGTTTTGCATGAGGGTTAAAGAAAAGGCCAACACTTTGGGGTACAGGGAGGGGAAGCAGAGGGTCAGGCCCACAGCATCACTGGAGACTGGGCGGAAAGCAACCCTGGGAGGCCGCTGTAAACATGTCAAAGCTGGGAGGCCTAGCCAGTCGGGAAGGATCAGAGGGGAGGTTGTAGGCAAAGCCACAGCCCAACATGGAGGCACCTGAAGAAAATTCGAGCACAGGTGTCAGGCCTGGTCCCGGGAATTCAGCCCTGCAGGGACCCTGCATACATAATGCCCCTGCAGAGCACCAGAACCATTCACACGTGCCCTGACTTCCTGGGCTTGCCGGGGTTGACTGGGCTGTGCTGCGCTGGCCAACCATGCCAACCTGACTAGGGATGGTGGAGTGGTGCGATGACAGTGGCGTGAGGCCTGACTTGCTACCTTGCTTGGTGACAGCACCAGACTTTCCACTGGCTCCTGGTCAAACACTTGCAGCTCCTCAATTAGGTGGACCCAGGTCCCCAGGTTCACAGCCTTGAGCAGCCAGCCATCTCCTGCGGAAGTTTGGAGGACAAGAGGTCAATGACAGGGAATGAGGCTCTTGGGCGTCTCCCTGCCCCAGGCACGCCCGGCATCTGCCTACCTGTGCCAATGAACAGCACTGTATAGGTGGCTCCGTCAAGTCCTGTAATGCGGTCAGCCACCAAGTGGGTGAAGTTGGT